GTGTGCATTGACCACACCCAGTCTCAACCACCATCCTGAGGGCAGGACCAGCATGGCCTGCCAGACATCAAACCCTGACCATTGTGCTTCAACTAAGGAGGTGCTGTAGTCTGCTGAGCTGTCTGGCTGGCCCTGGGTGTCTATTTAAAATGCATCCTCATGCAGAACCTCATGGAGAAGGAAATCCCAGGGAAGAAGTAGGGCGCCCTTCCTTGAGATGGGTGCTGGGTACCTCAGGAGTGCAGAGCAGAGCCAGGAGGGCCCGGAAGCCCCAGTGGGTGGGTGTGTGGCTGGAAGGACCCCAGACCAAACGGGGCATCAGACCTCAAAGACCAGCAGACATCCTTAGGTCCTGGTTGACCAGAGCAAGGGGGTTTATTTTTCTTGGTTGGAGGAGGATCCAAAGGAAGCCAGGGTGGAGGAGATGGAGGAGGTGAAGGAGGGAGCTAAGTTTAAATGTGAAGGCCTGGTTAAATTTATATATTTTTAAATTTTTAAATTTATAAATTATAAATATATAATATAATATAAATATGAATTACAAATATAATTTATAAATTTGTAAATTCATAAATTTATAAATATTTGTCCCTCACAACATGCAGTTAAAAGAATCATCTCGAAGAAAAAGTGAAATACACTTACCTGTCAGTCCTTTCAATAAACCTAGCAAGTGAGCAGTTTAGGGTGACAGCTACATGCCAAAGGGAGTAGGAGGCCAAGTTAGGAATGAACTGTCTGTGGAAGACAAGAGCCTAGTTAAAGGGCCCAGATGTCCCTTGATCAGCATGAGCAGAGCTCATTTTTATTTACCACGTGACTTTGCTTTGTTTGTTGGCTTTGAAAATGTGTCTGTTGCTGAGTGAGGAGATCCGACCCTGCAGGCCCAGTCCACAGAGGCGAAGGTATGAGGATTACTTGAGCGCTGCTGCTGTGGGGCTTAGTCCTTTCTTTCAAAAGAGAAAGAAAGAGAGCAGGAAATTATCTTTCAGACCAGGTATACCTGGATCTTCATTTCTGTCCTGATGGGCTCTATCAGTTGGTGTCCTTAGACCTTCCCATTTGCTGTAATTATAATATTGTTAAGTATCTCTTTTATTTGTAATTATTGATATAGTTGGATTAACACTTGTCATATTTCCTGTTGTTCTCTGTTGTCATTTTTTCTCTTCTATGCTCTTTCTCTTCTTTTTCTTTTTTCTTCCTTTTTTTTTTTTTTTTAGACACAGTCTTGCTATGCTATTCAGCATGGCCTTGCGTGTACTTTGTAGCCCAGGGTGGCCTTGAACTTGCAGCGATTCTCCTGCCTCTGCCTCATGAGCGCTAGCATTATCAGTGTGTGCCACAAAACCCGGCAAGTCTTGCATCCTTTTTATTTTTCTTTCTTTCTATTTTTTTTTTTTGTTTTTTCTGGCTCAGCCCACCCACTGTGTGGGTTAGTCGCTGCACGTGGTGCCAGGGATTGAACCATGGTCCCCTGTGGCTGCCTAAACTTGCCTAAGGAGGTGCTTTAATCCACTGAACTATCTCACCAGCAAATGGAATAAAGGTTTTTTTTTTTTTTTTTTTTTGAATG